TACTTTGGATTTAGTAGTTAAATTATACTTTGGATTTAGTATTTAAATAATTGCCGATATATAGTCAGTTTATGATATTTGCAAACAAGATTGATGAACAGTTTTTTGTTTTTTAACAAATACGTTTTAATATACACACAACAGTACAATAACAATTATTACAAATAGTTATTACAAACAATGATTTATAAACAAAAGTTTCGCAAACTTACAAACAATATAAAGTCTTCTTTCTAGTCTGGAACTTCCTTAATATCTTATCGAGGGTTCACGATGAGCGAGTTAATTACGAGTTGATGTAGGTACGATTCGCTTAACGGGAAGCTAGCTAGCTTTGTCCTCGGTAATTACCAGCCACACACGCCGATATTTTCCTATCGATGACGTTAGGTAATGTTTTCGTAAAATTATTAATGTCCAATGGGAATCCTCTGAACTTAAACGATTTGTAATGTTCGAACTTTGTAAAGGTTCCTGGTCAAGTATCTGAAGTTTTCCGATTAATAAACGTTAATCACAGCTATAACTTACGAAGTTTTTTTTTAGCATGCCAAGTATAGCAAACCGATAATATATACTCTCTTTTGGCGCGTCGCGTTGGTTGTATTTATAGCCTTGTGGAGGCTTTCTAGAAACTTCAGATTACGTAACAATACTGAGCTACATTTAAGCATTTACGTATATACATTTATTGTTCATTCTTACTCTCGAGAATCTTCTACAACTTTGGGGAATAAGCGGGAGTTTCGCAATACATACATAACAGTATAAGCTATGCATGTTTCTAAATATGAACTTAATCTAAACAAACGTTGATATTAAAGTAAATATATAATAACAAATTCGTTACAGTTACTAATTTATTTAAGTAGGTAATAAAGGTTCATGTTTCATTGTACCAACAACAAAAAAATATTCTTTTCCTTCTTTTTATTTATGTACATACTATAGCACAATGTCAAAATAAATTATAAAATAACTTAGTCTGGTTTACTCATTATTTGTACATCTTGCAATTAAAACAAGTTGTAATTTATTTCCACGATTTTACAGGTTAATATCGGCAAAGTTATGTTGTTGTTATCCATGACAATTATTTTGGGAACCTTAACCATTCATGATGCTGTCCCTCTAGAGGATCAGAATGATGTTGGCAACCCTGTGAAAAGAAATTACAGATTCGTCGAAGCCAACAACCAGTTTGCTTTGTCTATTCTAAATGCACTTGATAAGAAAAATAATATAATTATGTCCCCTTGGAGCTTCTCAATGACTCTGGGAATGGCCTACCTTGGTGCTTCGGGTAGTTCAGCTCGGGAAATGGAAGAAGTTTTGGGGTATCGATCTGCGGGAATTGAAAGAGATCTGGTTCATGATGGCTTTAGAATAGAGGAAAGTGCACTAAAGAGGGTTCACGGTAAGAATGAACTGAGCAGCGCTAACGTGGTTCTTGTCCAGGAAGGATACACTTTATCCAAGTCCTATAAAGATGACTTAAAACGATACTACAACTCGTCAACCACAGAAATAAACTTCACGAGACCACAGTCTGTACTCCAGTGGGTCAACGCCTGGGGATACTGGACTTCAAATAGCAAGATCAAACAAATATTGACAGAAACACCACCAAAAACCACCAAACTGATGTTGCTGAATGGCGTATATTTCAAGGGTAATTGGTTGAATCCTTTTAACCCTGAACACACTCGTTTAGAAGATTTCACCAATGAAAATGGTCGAAAAGTGACTGTCCCTATTATGCACATGATTAATAATGTATCCTATGTTGCATATCACAAGTTGGGCGTCTATGCTGTAAACTTTCCTTACGATGGAGAAGACATTAATATGATGGTGCTTCTTCCAACAGAAAATAACAACTTAAATGCTGTAGAAGACAAACTTACAACGGCTGTACTGGAAGACATATTGGCGCAGATGGAAATGCAAACAATAAATGTTGGCTTCCCGAAATTTGAGCTAAAAGACGATCGCAAAATGAAGGAAACATTGAAGTCCTTAGGCATGCAATCAGCATTCAGTGAAAATGAAGCTGATTTTTCGAGGATTGCAGAAACACGCGACCTCTACTTAGAAGAGGTCATCCACAAAGCTGTTATCCAAGTTAACGAGAATGGTACAGAAGCAAATGCAAACACTGTTATACCGTTAATGAACAAACGAAAACTTCCCGAGTTCTTTGCAAATCGACCATTTCTCTTCTTGATCCGCAACATGCGAAGTGGTGCCATCCTCTTTATAGGACATGTCGTTCAACTAGAGTGACCATACATCATATCGTTGGATAAGCTTGTTTATCTATAAGAGACTTTGTGTATCCTATCTTTAGAGCACTGCATCTTTGTAATCGAACTCTGTATCTACTCTTGTCTACCTCTGGTTTAAAAAAAATCGAACTAAATATTAGCATAAACGGTTTTAAAAGGGACATAGGAATGTGCGTGTCTTTTTCAGAATGTAATTTTATTTGTAACATCCAACATTGTTAAAGAAATTAAAACATCATTCTTTACATATTTATAAAGTATAAGAATTATGTATTATTACTAGGCACACTAAACTGTGTCAAACAAATTCACGATAGAAAAAGAAGTTAACGACAAATTACCATTTTTAAATGTTCTTTTTTTTTAAAAAAAAAGCATTGACTTCCAAACTCTAATGTTTTAACATTGAAAATGACAAGTGTAGATTTTGGGTTTGTGTACAAAATGATTTTCCTTCTGCTATTAGTAATCAATTATTTGGATCTTTTTACAACGGCCCACTAACTGATAAGGAAAAAGAAACTTCCAAAATTAACCCAATATATTATACATTCATCCCCAAACTTCCCAAGCTATTAAAAAACTTGGTACAACCCACCTACTGAAAATAAAACTGCTGTTAATGTCTGATTTATACTTCTACGGTAATGTCTACCCAGTAAATAAGAACTAAATCAAATTCTGTCTTTACGTGTATACTGACAACAATACATCGGGAACTATTTATGGAATTGAAAGCACATAAAAAACAAATATAATTGAGAAATAAACGGGAAGCTTTTCACCCGTTCACAAGATAATTTAAAACAAAATTATTCCGTTTTGTATAAATGAATATATATATGTAGAACAATTTTTTTCCTTTGCTTTCTACAAATCAAAGTACTAAATAGAGAGAAGAGTTTAAACAGATCAAAAAGACGAATTAATTCTTTTTACTCTGTTATAACAATATAATCTGTGATAATTTCACTTTAAAAATGGCCATTATACACTCCTTATGGATACACTCAAAACCCTGAGATAAACTATCCCTTCTAAAAAAATAATTAATTTTAACATCCGCTCTGTACTTAAATCACAACACTCGCAGTAAACTTAAATAGTCATGTATATCAAACAATACCAGATTGACTTAGCGAAACGCTGTGAAATAAAAAAAAACATTTGCTTTGCAAGTCTGTAAAACAATGTTATTCACAACAAAACACTTCCTAATTTATAATAAAGAATTCTTGAATTATACTACAAGCGAAATAATACCTTACTTTTCTGATTATAACTTGTATAAAATTGTCATTTTTATCATAATTAAATGGTGTCAATGTTATATGCTGTGTATGATGAGACGTATCGTTAAGGTTTTAAAGAACTGTGACAAATTAGATAAAATATATTAGATTCTTCACTTGAAGAGTTGTAATGACTGTAGCTATACACGTGGAGTTTAATTAGCGGTTTAATAGTATCGTTTTGAGTTAACTTACTGATTGTAAATATTATCTTACTACAAGTTGCAGCTTTTACAGTAAGGAATACACTATTGTTACGTCTCTAGTCGTTTGTTAATTTTCCGTAAAAATGCTTTCCGAGGAAACTTTAGCATACAAGTCCTTTCTTAAATAAAACTAGTTTATTCTTTCTCAATACAACTTTGCAATACACTTACTTTCCACAGTCACGCTATAACTTAAACAAACCCTATAATTCACAACGAACGACTCACGCGCTTTGTCCGTCTCTATCTCTGTCTGCAATTCAATAACATTGTTGCCGTCACTTCTTGGCGGTCTTATATACAAGAATACCGCATATCGAGTAAACACTCGAGGCTTCACGAAGGGACGTGAATTTTCTAGAAGCTCATGACGTGTTACTAGCGTCACGTGACTTCCGCTGTCGTAACAGTATTTTAAAAACAAGTACGACATTTCCATCACTGGTGCGATCATTTTATTTTATACTTGAGAATGATCGCACTAGTGTTCGAAACGTCGTATCCGTTTTAAAGATGTTGTTCCATATTGTAAGAGCTGTAACATGTAATAGAATAATACTTAATTAGGGTTTTTTTATAACATAGCTAATTAAAACCTCGTACATAGCATGTAGGCGAATACATCCCATTACTAAAGTATGCAATTTTTGGTTTAGGCACCGCCTGGTAGAAAATACAGTAGTTTGAAGATTAACTCGGTTATTTAATTTATACACAATTCTAGATTGTTCCTAAGAGTGAATTATGAAATGTTGATCTTTTTGTCTCTTACCCTATGAAGTTGATAATAACTAAAATAAGCCATAGCTGTAGATAAGTTAAATAAGCTGCAGAGGTGTAAGCATCTTAAACATGTTAAGCCTAGTTCCAACGTTTCTAAACAAGTTGAATAAGCTACCCAAGCACGTTAAGTCTATTTCTAATGTTTGAAGAACAACGCTGTTTCGAAGTTCTCCAATTACTGTTACTCGAATAATTCAGCGCTTTATATCTCGCTAATCGATTTACTAGAGCTTGAATGCCCCTAATGAAAAAAGGCGTCAAATGCCCTCTGTAACAAATGGAAAGTGAAAACCATAAGAATTGTGCAAACCCTTATCCGGTATTATTGTTTACAAAATGGATGTTGACGAATATATTCAATTAAAATATGGATTCAGTTTCAAAGATAACTAGACAATAGCTATCAAATCTATATTAGACAAGAAAGTTACTTCCATAATCTTACGAACACGATACGGGAAGACGAAAACTTGCGCTCGTTTTCCCGCGGTTTCGCCCACAGCGCATTGAAACTACTTCTTCCGGCTTGACGCATTTTAACTGTAAACATATATTATTTTGTTAAGCTAACTAAATGCACGGTAGAATCTTACGTTCTCATTTGAAAGAGTAACATTAAGCCAATCTTAAACTATAACAGTTTTTACCTATTTATTACATCAACACTTAAAACTACATTGTGGAAAATTTCAAAGCAATCGAAGACATAGTAGCAACATCAAAGCGAGGTCAGAACAAAGGTCATCATAGGTATTTTTTGCTTTGGCCTATTAAAAAGTTATTATAACCATAAAGAAGCATAATGCGTAACCGAAAAACAAAACAAAGTTGGTAAATAATTGTGAATATCAAACAATAAAACGTAGATGAAATTCACCAGACTTTAATATTTGTGTAATTACTGTTGTTACGTCACATCATAAAGAACATTAATTAACTATATAATATTGCTTATCCTTAGTTAGTATTGTTGAGCTGTCATTTACTGAAAAATATTATGAACTTATCGTCAGAAAATAACAATGAGCAGAGAAATAACATCGGCAGAAGCTCTAATATAGAACTGGACCGGTCCTTACTTAATGAAAAGCGTGCCCAAACTGTAAATCCAATAACTCGCGTTTCGCGACCCATTGCCATCATTAAGCGTGCCCAAACTGTGAATAAAATAATTCACGTTTCGCGACCTCTTTTCATCATTACACTCTCCGTATTTTAGGGCCATGTGTGCGCTATAGGATTACAAGTCAGTCTGACAAGAGTAGCCCAAGATTTATAGGAGTGTACTACTAACTAGCTACCCCATCTAGCCCCTCAATTCAAATTAGAACCGGCTATATGTAAAATGCCCTTGTGTAGCAATGCGTGAAATTCTAACACCAACAAACAAATCACTCCAAACCAAAATACTTCTGTAAAGCAAAACGTGAAAAGAGAAAAAAGATGGAATGCTCTGACGAAAAGTTTCGTGCTGTACTTTCACCATCAAGTAGAGACTCCTACTAAGTAAGTTAGTTTATCATCTTCAACAAACTATTTGTTATTAGATTAATCGACCTTTTACATTCGCTCGGTAGTGCGTATTCGTGAAACAAATTTTATAAAGTGCGTAAGCAACTGAAAAATGGAAACTGGTTTAAGAAAAGTAACATTCTATCATTGTTCGTTTTATTTGTTTGTTGTAAAGCGAAAAGCTAGAAAATGGGCTGTATTTTCTGTGCCCACCACGAGTACCGAAGCCCGGTTTATAGAATTATAAGCCTTCACATTTACCGCTGAGCCACTTGGAAACTTTTAGGTTTCGTACTCAATCAAGTTTATCTGGAAAAGAGGATTCCGTCCCTGTCTCATTGGTATTCACAATGAGTTTTAAAATAAGATACCTTTATTTTTCTGATTAGAATAAGTGATCATTGTAAACTTTAGAACTGTTTTTAAATTTACAAAACCTACTTGGCCTTGGCATGAGTATTTAAACCCAATAAGTCAGAAGATTTTCAATATCCATTCAGTGTTCATTTAAATGTCTGCCAAGGATATATCAGAAATATAACTATAAGGAGCGTGTACACAAGGATTGCGGGAGGGGGAGTACAACCCCATTCGATATCTCTGCCTCCCAGACATAATCTTTTAAGATTTTTAAATTATCTACATTGTGACATAAGAATGTTAATTCTTTTCGCCCCATAACTAATTCAATCAAAAACCAGTGTACAAATTACAGCAGAATAAACAGTACCTTCAGTTAACTATCCAACAAGAACGTTTTATCCATAACCAGTATACTGACTAGGGCGGAACAAACATTACCTTCAGTTAACTGTCCAACAAGAACGTTTTATCTATAACCAGTATACTGACTAGGGCGGAACAAACATTACCTTCAGTTAACTGTCCAACAAGAACGTTTTATCTATAACCAGGTATACTGACTAGGGCGGAACAAACATTACCTTCAATCAACTGTCTAACAAGAATGTTCCATCTATAACCAGCATACTGACTGGTACAGAAAAAACAACAACATTACTTTCAGTCAACTGTCCAACAAGAACGTTCTATCTATAACCAGTATACTGACTAGGGCGGAACAAACATTACCTTCAATCAACTGTCTAACAAGAATGTTCCATCTATAACCAGTATACTGACTAGGGCGGAACAAACATTACCTTCAATCAACTGTCTAACAAGAATGTTCCATCTA